CTCGGCCTCCCAAAGTGCTGGGATTACAGGCATCAGCCACAATGCCCAGCCCATGGAAAGTTTTTTAACTAAAAATTCAGTTTGCTTACATAGATTTAGGGCTATTTCTTCTTGGGTAAGGTTTGGTAGTTTGCATCTTATAAGGAATGTGTCCATGTCATCCAGGTCATCAATTTATTGGCATAAAGTTATTCATATTCCCATATTATCTCTTTATTATGTAGAAATATTCTGTTATTTTTATATTGGCAATTTGTGTCTTCTCTCTTTTTTCATGACCAATCTAGTTAGAAGTTTATCAATGTTGTTATTCCCTCTGAAGAAGCAGCTCTTTAACTCTGTTGTGGTTCTGCTTTTAGTTTTGTTGATCTTCTCTTTTTTTTTTTTTTTTTTTGAGACAGAGTCCTTCTCTGTCACCAAGGCTGGAGTACAATGGTGTGAACTTAGCTCACTGCAACCTCTGCCTCCCAGGTTCAAGAGATTCTCTGCCTCAGCCTCCCAAGTAGCTGGGACTACACCTGTGCGTCACTAATTTTTGTATTTTTAGTAGAGACGGGGTTTCACCATGTTGGCCAAGATGGTCTCAATCTCTTGACCCTGTGATCCGCCCACCTCAGCCTCCCAAAGTGCTGGGATTATAGGCGTGAGCCACCGCGCCCCCCAGTTTTGTTGATTTTAACATCTCCTTCCTCTGCATGCCTTGGATTTAATTTTCTCTTCTTATTCTGTTCTGATTTTCCTTATTCTTATTATATTTAGTTATATTCTTACTGTTCTTATTCTGCTCACCTTATTCTGGGTGTCTCAGGTATAGTCTTAGATTATTTCAAGCCCTTTCTTGATTTCTATTATAAACATTAAACACTATAAAATTCCCTCTAAGTACTGATTTAGCTATGTCACAGAAATGTTGATATTATTGTGTTTTCATTTTCTTCAATTCAAAATATTTTCTATTTTGAATTTCCAAGTATTTTGAACTAACCTACTCCTGTTACCAATTTTTAGTTTAATTCCATTATGATCAGAGAACATAATTTGTGTGGTTTCATTTTTTTTTCACAGAAATTTGCTTTATGGCCCAGGATGGTCTCTCTTTTTTTAATTTTTAATTTTAATTTTTGTGGGTGCATAATAGGAGTATATATTTATGGAGTACATGAGATTGTTTTCACAAATAAGACTTTTTATTTGCCAGTATTAAAAGTTTGAACTTCAAATAGATTCTTGGACCAGTGCTTCATATCCATCAGCTAATTCGAATTTAGCACCTGTCTCATCCCCTAGCTTTTCCAGAACAATTACCTTCACCATGACATTCCATGAGTTTTCCCAATTCAAACTTGGGCATCTTCAACATTTTTACTTTTCTAACAAAGACATCATGGAGAAGATAAATTGATTGGCAAGGCTTTTCTCTTTTCCAGTGCTCTCTGCAATCAATTTATTGACCATTTCTTTCAAGTCGTTTGCACCTCTCAGGTCATAATTTCCATCATCTTCTTCTGGATTTCACAGACCTGTTGGTGCTGAGCATAAGAGGCCTTCTGTATTGGATTACTGTGTTATTTAGTAAAACCAACATAGAGTAGATGAGACAAATAACCATCGGTAGTCTTGACACCAATGTGAGGTTGAATCACGGTCTGCCATTTTTTGACCATGGAACACATTTTGTCATGGTTAAACCCATGCCATGGAAGTTAGTCAGTTTTTGCCCTGAACATCTTCAGCCATCAGCATGAATTGTCTAAATGCAATTTCATCATTCTGCAAGTCAGCACGACTCACTTCAAGCATGTGACCGTCAGATGCAATTTTGGTTCCTTGAGTCCTGATGACTAGTGTCTCGCCAATATTTCTTATATTGAACATAGCAAGTGCTTTTATATCATACCATTCCTTCTTAGAAAATGGATCAACCACTTTCTTTTTGGCTTCCTTTTTGCTACCTTTCATAAGATGCTTGTTCTTGCCAACAGCCATGGTGCTGCTCAGAAAGCCAAAAGGCTACATGAGATGTTTTGATACAGGCATGCAACAAGTAATAATCATGCCATAGAAAATGGGTTATCCAGCCCCTCAAGTATTTATCCTTTTGGTTACAAACAATCCAATTATACTCTTTAAGTTATTTTTAAATGTACAATTAAATTATTATTGACTATAATCACTCTGTTCTGCTATCAAATACTAGGTCTTATTTACTTTTTCTAACTTTTTTTGTACCCATTAACCATCCCCACTTCCCCTGGAAACTGCCCCTCTACTCTCCTTCCCAGCCTATGGTAACAATCTTTCTGCTCTCTGTGAGTTCAACTGTTTTGATTTTTAGATTCCACAAACAAGTGAGAACATGTAATGTTTGTCTTTCTGTGCCTGGCTTATTTCTCTCAGCATAATGACCTCCAGTTCCACCAGGATGGTCTCTCTTGGTAAATGTTTCATGGGTATATGAAAAGAATCTGTATTCTGGTGAAATTTTCTATCAATATCAATTAGGTCATGTTGATTGCTGGTATTTTTAGGTCTTTCATATCCTTACTGATTGTTTTTCTGCTTATTTGTTCTATTAATTCCTAAGAAAGCAGTGTTCATTTTATAATTGTATTCATACATATTTAAAAGGAGAGTATGCCTAGTTTTAGAATTATTTAAAAACTGGTAAACATATTTAAATTTTTTCACTGTTACCATTAAAATACCCAAATTTCATTATATTATTAACTGGTAGCATTTTTACATAGGCAAGCTAAGTTCAGATTAATTCACCAATGATTCCAAGCCTACTGGTTTCCCAGTGAACAAATATGTATAAAGTATTGTTAAATGCATTATAAAGTATATTGGTATCAGTGGTACCAGTAAAATATGTATGATTTGTGTTGATCACAGGTTTGGGAGTCAGACATATAAAGATTCAAATATCATCTCTGATACTTAATATAGCTACTGGATAGCTCATTTAACTTTGGGGATACTACTACTCACTACCTGGAACTGCTATGAGGATTAGGTGAGATAATGTGTATTCAGGGTGGTATGCCCATAGACTGTTGTGAGGATTAGAGATAATGCATGTGAAGTGCCTGGCAGAGTACCTGTCAGTTAGTAAGCAATAAATTGTAGCAGTAGTGGTAGTAGTAGCAATAATAATAATAGTAGTAGGGCATATTATTTTAATTCCTAAATATTATTTTAAAACATATTATTAACATATATTATTTCTTAATGTATTATTATTAAATAATAATTTTTAAAAAATTTTATTCTTTTGAGATGGGATCTTGCACTATGGCCCAGGCTGGAGTGCAGTGTCACAGACATAGCTCACTGCAACCTCCAACGCCTAGGCCCAGGCCTCCCAAGTCGTTGGGACTACAGGCATGTGCCACCATTCTTGGCTACTAAATAATAATTATCATATCTTCTAGAATGACTTACCATTTTCTTTATGCTTTACCAAATTCTCCTTCAATTTTTCAATTTCTAGTTGAGCCTTCTTAAGTGCAGAATCTAAAAAAAGAAAGAAAATATTTGTATAAGGAGTAAATGATTAGTATAATAATCAAATTTCAAATGACTCTCCCTCTAGAACACTTTCTTTCATCTGGCTACTGTCCTTGGAGTTTCTGCTCCTCAGGGAGTTCCCCAGACTTTTCTCTTAGAGTTCCTACCGCACCCTATATTTACTCCATCCCTGATTATCAGATCTCATAATTGTCTTTCCCTAATAGTTTTCTCCACCAGATTTCATGATGAAGAGGAAGTTAAACCACTGTAAACAGCAGGAACAGCTCAGAGATTTTAGGCATGGTACTACCAGTTTGGTAAAAAGAAATTACACCCAGAAATAATTAAAAATATTTCCTGCAATCAATCATATTTAGAATTTTGCCAATAACTACTAGAAATATAAAAATAACAAAATTGCAGGAAATAGCTTTTGGTACTATGCAAGAATTGTATAAGGATGGCAAAATGATATTTAGGAAGACACGGGGCATTGGAGTCTATTGGATTTGGGTTCTCTACTCCATGTTTTATCCCTTTGTCTCCTGCAGTCTCCTCATCACCAGTGATATTGCTGGTGGGTCTCCTACATTATCAAAATGAAGAACCTCCCAGAAGTAAGAGACTAACATGAGTTTAAAACAGGTCATTTCTAACCACAGAGTGAGTACATCAGCACAATTGTGCAGGTTTTATTATTACATCCATAACACTCCGTTATTTAGAGTAAATCCCAGGATAACCTACCAGATTCACCTAAAACTGTATTCCTAACTATAGCAATACTCTTACTACTAATGTTACCATAGCAGCAACTACCAGTGTCAGATATATGTATCATCATAACAAATCTGCAAAGTAGATATTCATGTTTCCATTTTATAGATGAGATAAACAAGATTCAGAAAAGCAACTCATTCAACATTATACAACTAGTAAACAGTATGGCTGGGATGTGAACCTAGTTCTGTTTTCACTGAGCCAGAGATGTAAAAATAGCTTCTTTTTTACTAAAAGAACAGTTTTCCAATGAATTCCTCTATGGAAGACGGAGAGAAAGTAAAGTGAGGGCAGGCAGAAAGGACATTCTAGAAAGAGGGAATAACACAAGTAATACAGGAGGTAGGACAGAACAAAGGAGACAACGTAGGAGAGAACACTGAGTAGTTCTGGAACTACATATAGTCCAATACTCCCTGGTATGTAGTACAGAGAATTAGGGAAGTGTGGGACATGAGCTGGATATATAGGCAGGAGCCAAACTAGAAAGACCTCATTTGCTATACAAGAGAGCTCAGAATTTATTATGTAAACCAGGGGCTTTGAAACTGTATTCTATGAACCTCAAAGTTCTGAGGAAGTACTTCAGATGTTCTGAAAACATTTGACTTAATTTCTATTTGAAAAAAATAACTATTTTTGGAATAGCACACATAGTGAAATATATTGTACAAAATTTAAATAATAACAGACTACCAAATTCATTAACTTGTATGGTCAGCTTAGTTTCTGCCATGTTTGTGAAGATACTTGAAAACTGTAGCTTTCTGGGGTTGGGCACAGTGGCTTAGGCACTTTTGGAGGCTGAGGCATGAAGACTGCTTGAGGCCAGGAGTTTGAGACCAGCCTGGACAAGTAAAACTCCCTTGTCTACAAAAGATTTAAAATTAGCTAGGTGTACATGCCTGCAGTCCTAGCTACTCATGAGACTGAGGCAGGAGGATCACTCGAGTGATTCAGTTAGTGAGTGATGATCATGCCATTGTGCTCCATTCTGGGAAACAGAGTGAAACCCCGTCTCTAAAAAAAAGAAGAAGGAAAAAAAAAGAAAATTGTAGCTTTTCAATAGTCCTCTTAAACCAGTAATATTTCTAAAACTGTTTTGGTTGTAAATTTTCTTGAGAGCTCCCCACTGGATTAACAGTTTTACTTTCTAAGTCTATTTGTAAGCATCTTTCTAAGTCTAGTTATCATAGATTCTTAAAAAAAACTTTTTCACTTATGGAAAATTTCAAATATATACAAAAGTAGCTAGAAGAGAGTTATGGCAATACCTACATCCATCACCCAGATTTTAACAATTACCAACTCATGGCTGATCTTGTTTCTCTTATACCCTTACATATAATATTAATTTTCTAATGTTGTATAACAAATTACTACAAATGTAGTGGCTTACAATAGCATCCACCTGCTAGTTCACAGTTCTCTAGGTCAGGAATTCAGGCATGGTGTGCCTGGGTTCTGTGATCAAAGTCTTACAAGGCTGAAATCAAGGTGTGGGCCAGGCTATGTTTCTCTTTGAAGGCTCTGGACAATTGTCTATTTCCAATCTGATTCAGGTTGTTAGCTGAATTCAGTCCTTGAGAGTGTAAGGCTGAGGTCCCCATCTCCCCACTGTCAGTTGGAGGTCTCTCTTGGCTCTGGGAGGCTGCTCATATTCTTTGTCACATGGCCTCCTCCATCTTCAAAGTAATTTTTTTGTCAAAGTTATTAATGAAGAATCTCCCTCATGTTAAATCCCTCCTGCACTTCAAATCTTTTTTGCCAGGAAATGCCCTGGCAATTTTTTTTTTTTTTCTTTCAGGAAAGGTTTATTGCTGTGAGTGCCTTCTGTACAGTCGACTGCAAACAGAACGCAGAGGATGAGTGCCCAGAAGCGCCTGCGGCAGAGGCGCCCGGGAAGCCCGGGGCCCAGGCTCATGCAACATGACACTTGCCGCGGCTAACGCCGTGGGGCTATCAGGAAACGTTTTTTAAAAATGGAGATGAATGTTACAGAATTGGACAACCTGAAGTGCTTCTCAAAACCAGAGGAAGGAGGTTCTTCGCCATTACTCAGATACCTGTGCTCGGGGGAGGCCTGACTCTAGCAACAGCTGTGGGCGGGCTGAAGGCTGGCACAGCTTCCGGGCCCTAGGGCCAGCTGTCTCGGCCACCGCCTGTGCAGCGCTCACTCCGAGGGGTCAGCAAGGGCGACTGATGGCTGCCACTTCCAGGACCCACCAGACGGGCCTCAGGAAACTTTACTGCAGCCAAGGCTCAGGCTGTCGAGGGGGTCCCAGCTTTGCCACATTCTGCCTCCCAAGTGGGCACGTGAAGGAAGGGTCTGAAGGGAGACTCCGGAGCACAGGCCCTGGTTCCCTGTGAGGACTCTGGACCTGCAGGAGCAGCGGGTTGCAGTGCCACCTTCTGGGTGCCACAGGCCAGACCTGGGGTCCACACCCCCGAGTTCGGTGTATGAGGTCTTGCCCACCTTTGCCAGCGCCTGGCCCTGTCCTTTCGAGCTGCCCTCGCCCAGCACTGCACTCTGGAGGTGGGTGGTACAGGCGGTGGAGGGACAGAGGCCAGCTGGAGCCTGCTGGTGGCAGGGCCTTTTCCCACAGGGATACATACAGGAAGCCACCTTGTCAGGGACAGGCCCTGGGATCGGGAGTGACATTACCCTGTCCCAAGCCAAGGGGGCTGCTGGAATGATTTGAGCAGGTCTGGGAGTGGGGAAAAAAGACTAATTTCCAAACCTGTTTGTTCTCAGTTAAAAAGCAGTTTTATAAACTTGCAATCTGCTCCAGATTCATGCAGTAATCTTTCAGCAGGAGAAGGTGGTCGTGGGAAGTCAGCCCAGCAGATGCTCCCTGACCTGGAGGCCTGCCTGCCTTTCCACATTATTTCCCACGTTCGGCGTGGACTTCAGGAAAAGTAGCTCATGCTCCTGTGGTGAGGGCAAGATGCTCCACAAACACCTCTAGACCCAACCAAGAACTACAGGCAGCGTGCTGCAGTCAGCACGTGTGCTCAGAGGACCCTGAGGAGTCAGGGCCAGCGTCCTCTTCGGGAACCAATCCTTGGGAAAACAGCCATGGCCACACTGCAGTCTGGTTCCCAGTAGGGCTGCCTCAGTCCTACCCCCAGCACCCTCGAAAGCTGGGGTGTCTGCAAGTCCCTTCATATAATTGATACGGTACCACCTCCTATAATAATAATATAAAATAAAAACATCTGATGTCTGGGTTTTTCCCCTGCTTCCAAATTTGTAGACTCCCAGGAAGAAAAAGATTTTTGCAGCCTTTTAAATATCTGGTTCTCAGGCAGTTTATCTGTCTGTATCGATCCTGTGGGCCTGCTTTGGTATCTGGAGGACCTCACTGTCCAGCACCATCACCTGATGCAGGACGCCTCACAGCTGATAGAGCACTTTCAGATTCTTCTCTTCACCCACACACAGGTCATAAAAGCCAGGCAGCTCAGCCTTGGAGGTTTCTGTGAAGATGAGCTTCGAATCCTTCACCAGGCACTGCAGGGGCACGGTCACTTCAATCTCTTTCACCTTCTCGCTCTTCCTGCTCACCTGATTAGAGCAGGCTCATGCAAGATAATCTCCCTGCTTTAAAGTCAGTTGGTTTGAGACCATAACTACACTTGCAAAATCTCTTCACAGCAGCATCTAGATTGTATTTGGTTGAATAACTGGGAAAAGATGTGTGCATACCAAGAGGTAGGGCTCTTGGAGGCCACCTTAGATTTTCACCTAATACTCTTATTTCCCCCAGTTCTTATATTTTTAACAGCTTTATTGAGGTACAGTTTACATATCTTAAAAATTACCTATTTTGGCCAGGCGCAGTTGCTCACGCCTATAATCCCAGCACTTTGGGAGGCCGAGGCAGGTGGATCACGAGGTCAAGAGATCGAGACCATCCTGGCCAACATGATGAAATCCCGTCTCTACTAAAAATACAAAAATCAGCTGGGCATGGTGGCGCATGCCTGTAGTCCCAGCTACTCGGGAGGCTGAGGCAGGAGAAATGCTTGAACCCGGGAGTGGAAGTTGCAGTGAGCTGAGATTGTGCCATTGCACTCCAGCCTGGTACCTGGTGACAAAGCAAGACTCTGTCTCAAAAAAAAAAAAAAAAAAAAAAAAAAATTAGCTGGGTGTGGTGGTGCATGCCTGTAGTCCCAGTTACTTGGGAGGCTGAGGCAGAATTGCTTGAAACCAGAAAATGGAAGCTGCAGTGAGCCGGGATCGTTCCACTGTACTCCAGCCTGGTGAGAAAGCAAGACTCTGTCTCAAAAAAAATTTACCTATTTTAAGTGGACAATTCAATGGTTTATAGTATATCTACAGGTGTGCAACCATCACAATCTAATTTTAGAACATTTCCATCACCCTATTAAAAAAAGTTATACCCACTTAGTCAATCCCAATTCTCATCCATAGACAACCACTAATTTACTTTCCTTTTTTTGTTGTTGTCGAGACGGTATCACTATGTTGCCCAGGCTGGACTCAAACTCATAGGCTAGGTGATTCTTCTGCCTCAGCCTCCCAAGTAGTAAAAAGTTGGGACATAGGCATGTGCTACTGTGCCCAGCTGTGCCAATCTACTTCCTATCTCTACAGGATTGCCTTTTATGTATATTTTGTATAAATGGAATCACACAATATATGATCTTTTGCATCTGACTTCTTTCACTTAACATGTTTTTGAGATTCATCCATGTAGCAGGTATAACTACTTCCTTTCTTTTTACTGGCAGATAGTGTGCTATCATATGAGTGTCAGGGTTTCCCAAGATCACTCCTATGTTTGGTGATATGCTAAGAGGATTCACAGGACTCAACATATGTTCATACTCAAAGCTAAGATTTCCTACAGCAAAAGGATAAAGCAAAATCAGCAAAGGGAAAGAATGCATACAGGCAACCACCAGAAGAAATCAGGAACAAGCTTCCAATAGTCCTCTCCCAGTGGAGTCACACAGAATGTGTCTCCAGCAGTGAACGGTGACAATACATGTAAAATGTTGTCTACCTGGGAAATTCATTAAAGACTCAGCGCCTAAGGTTTTATTGAAGGCTGGTCACACACGCACTTTCTGCTTAGCATATACAGACTCTTAAAGGAAAGCAGGTGTTCTGCATGGACCACTTGTATAAAAATCTTGGGCACAGTGAGCCACTTTGGTTAGGGAATGGTGGGAACCCTCCTCAAATCCAAGTTCCCAGATGTCAGCCAGATGCTTGTGACTGTTATAAGCAGTCCTTTCTTAAGGATAGCAGTGTTGGACATGCTGTTAGCTACTTTCTGCACAGTATCGATACACAGCATTTTGTTTATCTGTTCACCAATTGACAGACATTTGGGTGTTTCTAACTCTTGGCTATTGTAAGTAATAAATATCTACATACAAGTCTGTGTTGATACATGTTTTAATTTCTCCTGGGTAGATAGCTAGGAATGGAATTTCTGGGTCATGTTTAATATTTTGAGAAACTGTTAAATTGTTTTCCAAAGTATCTTCACTATTTTACCTTCTTACCAGCAATGTATAAGAGTTTCAATGTTTCCACATCCTTGCCAACACTTGTCACTGTCTGTCTTTTTTTAGCATAGCCATTCTAGTGGGTATGAAGTAGACTCTCATTGTGGTTTTGCTTTGCACTTCCCTATTAACTAATGGTATCAAACATCATTTTTTAAATCAACAAATAATAATTGTATATGTTTATGGGGTACAATGTAATGTTATCATATATGTTTATATTATGGGATGATTAAATCAAGTTAATCAACACATCTATCACCTCACAAAAATTAAAAATACTTATCAATTTCTGTGATGGGAGGTGCTGAGCATCTTTTCATGTGCTTATTAGTCATTCACATATCTTCTTCTGGGAAATGTCTTTTCAAACCCTTGCCCACTTTTTTTCTTTGAGGCAGGGTCTCACTCTGTCACCCAGGCTGGAAAGCAGTAACAATCATTGCTCACTGCAGCCTCAAACTCCTGGGCTCAAGCTATCCTTCTACCTCAGCCTCCCAAGTAGCTAGGACTACAGGTGCATGTCATCACGCCCAGCTCCTTTGCCCATTTTTAAATTGGCTGCCTTTTAATTATTAAATTGTAAGAATTTGTTACATATTCTGGATATAAGATCCATATCAAACACACGATTTGCAAATATTTTCTTCTAGTTTGTGAATTGTCTTTTTACTTTCTGATGGTATCTTTTGAAGTACAAAGGTTTTAAATTTTGATTTAGTCCAATGGATTAGTTTTTCTCATCACTTTTGCTTTTGGTATCATATTTAACATATCACTGCTTAACCCAAGATCATGAAGATGTATTCCTTGTTTTCTTCTAACAGTTTTATAGTTTCAACTTACATTTAGCTCTGTGATCCATTTTGAACTAATTTTTGTGTAGGTGTAAGGTAGAGAACTGTATTATTTTGAAGTAAATCCTAGACATCGTTTCATTCACCTATGAATATTTCACTATATATCTCTAAAATATAAGAACTCTTTTTAAATGAAAAATTAATTTAACAAAAATTTAACAATAATTCAAGTGTTCAAATTGTTTTATAAATGTTTAAAATTTGAATGAGGGTTCAATAAAGGCCATATATCATAATTGGTTAAGTCTCTTAAATCTTTAAAAACTCATCTCTTTTTTATTAATATTCATTTGTTGAAGAATAAATATTTTATATAAAGTCTTTCTTATTCTTGAAAAAATTATCATTGAAAAAATTTTTTATTTTCACCCAAATTTTATGATGTGATACAGAGCTAAAGAATAAACTAAAGAGAGCTAAAGGGATTTAGTTTAAGATAAATCACTTTATTTAAAAAGAGTTTGTTGAATGAAATAAGCTAATACTTGGGAAATACTGTCATATAACACATGCCTAGCTACAGATTCTGTCATAACTGGAAGACTCAGGAAGTTACAGATGATGCACACATTGATATTGCACACAACATTCCAAAAGGACTTGCAATTTAGCTTCCCAACAGTCCTAGTAGACTCACTATAGAGATGGCTTTCAGTTGATAAGTTTGGGATCTACCCTACAGAGCAACTGCTGATAGAACAGGTTGCTATGTGATTGTGTTCTGTTGTGTCCAAATGTAACTACTAAGGGTATTGAATATCCTTTTTCTTTTTCCTCTTGTATTCCAAGCAGCAAATATTGCTTCTCAGCATGGTCATGTGGCCAATTTTCTTTTCTTTTAAAATTGTGTTTACTGAGGAATAAGTTGCATACAGTAAAATTCACCCTTTTAAGTGTATAGTTTGATGACTTCTGAAAAATATGTACAATTTTATACCCACCAACTCAATCAGGATATAGAACATTTCCATCATTCTGAAAAGTTTTTTTGTCCACTTGTTTAAAATGCATTTATAAAAAAATCTACATCCTGATATTATTTTTATTTATTCTTTTTTTATTCTTTGATTTTAATCACACAATTTGGCATAATCATTATTGTTTTATAACATTTAACATTTTTAATGTTTATTATTATAATGTAACCTATATATTGCATTTGTAAAAGAATCAGTCACAGATTAAAAATATAGAAAGGAGAGAATTATAACTTTAAATTTGTATACTAAAATAAATTCTAGATAAAGCAAAGATGTAAATACAAACAATAAAAGTACCCCTCAAAAAACCAGGGGTATTTTCAATAATCTTGTACTAAAGAAAAGGCTTTAAACATGAAAACTCAGAAAGCATAAAGGATAATTCACTTAAGCCCAACTTGATAAATATTAACAATTTCTCTATGATAAAAAGAAAAACATAACAATGACAACATTTATAACCAACAAAAGGCTCGTATCCACAATATATAAAGAACTCCCACAAATAAATAAAACAAAGATATAGCCCAATAGAAAAATACACAAGAGACTAGAGTGGGAACTTCACAAAGTTGTATATCCAAATGAGTAACAACAACAACAAACATATGAAAGGATTTTCAACTTAATTAGCCATCAGGGAATACCAATTAAAGCCACACTTAAACACCATTATACCCTCAACATAAAAGGTAAAGTTAACAAGACTGATGTATCAAATATTGAAAACCAATGTGGAAGAACTAAAATCTCACATACAACTGAGGAAATCTTAAATTAGTATAACTACCTTGGAAGACCAAAGTAGAACCTGCCCATAACCCTTTGATTCACTATTCTACTCTTACCACAATCAGAACTATATAATAAGCACACCAAGACATATACCAAAATGTTTATGGCAGCAATATTCATAATAGACAAAAACTGGAAACAACACAATTGTCCATCAGTAGAATGGATAAATTGTAGTATGTTTATTAATAAAATATTATCAACACAGAAGAGTGAACAAACAACTGCTACATGCAACAAAATGAATTAATCTTGTAAGACTGAGCAGGAGAAGCAAACCACAGAAGGCATACTGCATGTAGTCAAAACACAGAAACAGCGTTCAAAGTAAGGACAGTAGTTACTCTGAAGAAGGAGGCAGGATGTAGAGTTAGAGAGAAGGAACACAGGGGGCTTCTGAGAGGCTGGGAATTTCTTGTGGTGAGTAGGATACACTTAGGAGTTGTGCACTTTTGGTAGGTATGTTTGTGCTTTGACAAAAATTCCTAACATGGTAGAAAATGAAGTTGTTCATCACTTTTATGTGTTTATCTTAATTTTTTTCTCAGTGTTTTTTTCCAGCCTGAGATGAGATCAGTAGCTAAAACATAAACAGAAATGGTCATCTGAAACCACAGCTTACCTAATTTACACTGTTCTTTCTCCTTCACTTGTAGTTGGTCAGTGAGCCTTTGAATCTCTTCATGGGCCACTCCTAACTTCTTTGCTACTTGTTCCATTCCTCTTCCTAGGCAGTTTTGTGATGTTTTATCTTTTTCCAGGTCTTCATTATGAGACTGAAATGAAACTACTGTTAATAATAAAACAGAGCAAATGTACTCCCATGACATTTTGCTATTTTCTATTAATGTTTGAAAGCCAGTAAAGAAAATTAACAAACAATATTTCATTTATGTGTATTTCTTTGTGTGTGTACGTGTTTGTGCATGTGTGTGTATTTCCTTTCTTAGGTTGAACCAAATAAAACTGGTGATATTTGATTGTTTTTATTTATAAACATGCAGTTTCATATGGTTCAACCTAACATCCAAAAGATATGAGCATACTGGTATATTTCTTTGCAGTATTTTTTATTAATATACATTTTTACATAGTCATAATACCAATATATGTACTAGTTTCTGTCTGGCTTTTTAAATTTAACATTATACAGGAACACCTTTCTGTATATTGTTGTACAGACATTGTAATGATAATTTTTAAAGGCTGTATTGTGTTCCAGTGTGGCTATAACATTATTTCTGTACTCACTCAAAGATTTGGATAGCTTCCAATTTTTGCTATTGGAAATAATACTGTGAAGTACAGTTTAATCTGTACATATTTTTCCTTTATCTTGGGTTACTGCCTATGTTTAAATTCACAGTGTACACTTTATTCATCAGACTTGTAACATTTTCCTAGATCAAAAAAATTACATTCCATGAACAGGATCGATTATATTTTAAATAATATGCTATATATTCTAAAGAACTCCTTAAAAGTAGAACTACAACATATTTGAAAAGAAAAAATATGTATAGTCCCAAGGTGATTTTTTTTTTTTTTGAGACAGGGTTTTGCTCTGTTGCCCAGGCTGGAGTACAGTGACATAATCTCGGCTCGTTGCAACCTATGCCTCCCAGATTCAAGTGATTCTCCTGCCTCAGTCTCCCTAGTAGCTGAGAGTACAGGTATATGCCAAGACACCTGGCTAATTTTTGTATTTTTTAGTAGAGACAGTATTTCGCCATGTTGGCCAGGCTGGTCTTGAACTCCTGACTCCAGGTGATCTGCCTGCTTTGGCCTCCCAAAGTGCTGGGATTACAGCTAGGAGCCACAGCACCTGGCCTAGCACCAAGGTGACTTTTAAAAGAACGTAACATATATCGATTGTTTATATTTTGATACATTCAATAAAAATCAGCTATTGTGTTAAATGAGTGATTTTTTTCCTCCTCAAATTTCTGTGATGTGTTCATACTTTTATGCATAATTTGATCATTTTTACAGCATGAATCTTTAAAAAAAAAAAGATGAAGTTATGCTCTGTCATCCAAGCTAGAGTGCAGTGGCGCAACCATAGCTCACTGCAGCCCCCAACTCCTGTACTCAAGCAATCCTCCCACCTCAGCCAGTAACTAGGACTACAGGCACATCCCACCACACCCAGCAAATTTTGTTTTTTGTAGAAACTGGGTCTCGCTATGTTGCCCAGGCTGGTCTTCAACTTCTGGCCTCAAGTCATCCTCCAGTTTTGGCCTCCCAAAGTGCTGGGATTATAGACATGAGCCACCACATCTGTCCATGGATCTATACATTTACATATATTCAAACAAAATACTTCCAAGGTAAAAGCTGATTGGTACTTAGCCACAATTAAGAAAAGGATTATAATTTCTTTTTTACCTCACTCAGATTTTTTTTAGACTGTTACACAGGTTCTTGATGTTCTCTTTGTAGAGACTGGTAGATATGTTCCAATTTCTTCTTAACAAAATTCAATATATAAATGAAACGTACATCAACAAGTCTTAATAAATAAAATGTCATTTTGGCTGAGTGTGGTGGCTCACCTGTAATCCCAGTACTTTGGGAGGACAAGACAGGAGGATCATTTGAGCCCAGGAGGTTGAGGCTGCAGTGAGTGGAAATTGTGCCACTGCACTCCAGGACTCCAGCCCGAAAAACAGTGAGACCCTGTCTCAAAAAAAAAAGAGAGAAAATGTTTAAATCTTCAAATAAATTATAAAAATGAATGACAAATTTTAGCAAGATTGCTAGCTATAAGGTCAATATGTAAAAATAATTATAATTCAAAATATTAGTAACAGATAAGTAGAAAATTAAATTTTTTAAAAGATAACATTAACAGCATCTAAAAATACAAAGCACCTAGGAATAAATCTAACCAAAATGTGCAAGATCTTTGTGGGAAAAATTATAAAAACTTACCTATATACATTAGAAAATTAATAGATATTTCATAATCACATATCATATCTATGAACTATTTTGAGTTAATTTTTATATATGGTGTGAGATAAGTTTACTTTAAGGTCTAAAATTTCATGTATTGCCTTGATGTCTTTCAGCCTCACAGAAGCCTAGCCATCAGTTACCTGGTTCTCACCAGACATGTCCCCTATCCAGAAAGAGAGAGTCCCCATCTGGCCAGTTCCTCTAACAGCCAGAGCAGCTGTACTCTACCCAGTCCTCAAACTAATGGGCTTCACCTCCCTGACAGCCCATGGAATTTTTCAGACAAGCCAATCACATCTTCCCATGGGAACCAGGAGGCACCTAATCTTCTTGTTACTACAAAGCCTGCCTCCCATAGCCCCTATGAGTTCACTCTATTCCTGAGAGTAACCCCTTATGGCCCTGCATAGCATAGCATATCTATCCTCTTCCCGTGGGCTGTGAATATATGTGACTAATAAACTGTTCTCAATCTCATCTCTGTCCATGGTCAGGTATTATGCATTTGGCCATCTTGTAGTATTTAGGACAGGGCATTCCTCACCAATGGGGAACAGAACTTGAATCAGGATTTGGGGGCTTTTATTTTTTTAAAGCAGATCTCTTTATCTAATTGTTCCAACATCATTTATTGAAAAGGTTATCCTTTTCTCATTGAATTGCCTTGTCATCTTTGTTGAAAATCAGTTGCTGGTATAGTTGTGGGCTTATTTCTGGACTCTCTATTGAGAGTTCCATTGATCTACAGAACTATCTGAATGCCAAGAATACATACTCTTTTTTTTTTTTTCTTTTTTTTTTTTTTTGAGATGGAGTCTCTGTCGCCCAAGCTCGACTGCAATGGTGCAATCTTGGCTCAATGCAACCTCCACCTCCCAGGTTCAAGTGATTCTCCTGCCTCAGCCACCCAAACAGCTGAGATTACAGGCACCCACAACCACGCCTAGCTAATTTTTGTATTTTTAGTAGAGAAAGGATTTCACCATGTTGTCCAGGCTGGTCTCGAACCCCTGACCTCAAGTGATCCACCCACCTTGGTCTCCCAAACTGATGGGATTACAGACATGAACCTTCGTGCCCAGCCCAAGAGTGTATTTTCTTGATTGCTACAGCTTTATGGTATGTCTTGAACTCAGGAAGTGTTAGTCCTCCAACTTTGTTCTTTTTCAGTTTTTTGACTAGTCTAGGTCCACGTCAACTTTAGAATCAGTTTGTCAGTTTCAGCAAATAAAAAAAGTGACTCTGCTGATTATTTTATGCTCAGGCTCTTTACAATATTAGCTTACACAAAATATCAGCTTTAACAAAATTGGGGCTGCATTACAAATGTTACAGGCTATATTTTATCCTAAAGTAACTTGGAGTATCTAGGTTTTTGTTGTTGTTTTGTTTTGTTTAGACTGCGTCTCACTCCACTGCCCAGGCTGGAGTGCAGTGGTGCAATCATGGCTCACCACAGCCTCGACCTCCCAGGCTCAGGTGGTCCTCCCACCTGTGCCTCCTGAGTAGCTGAGCCTACAGGTGTGTGCCACCATGCCCAGCTAATTTCTGTATTTTTTTGCAGAGATGGGGGTTTCTCACATTGCCCTGGCTGGTCTTGAATTCTAGACTCAAGCAATCTATCTGCTTTGGCCTCCCAAAGTGCTGGGATTACAGGTGTGAGCCACTGTCCATGGCCAGAGTATCTGTGTTAATTCTTTCCGGCCATTATTGGAAAACTATGATCTCAAAGTGATTGAGTAGATGGCATTAGAGTCATCCAAGATTTCACCCACCATTTCCAATTTGTTTTATAGATTCCCTTTCATTAATAACTCAGTTCATCTTCCCTTCACTATTTACACTCCTCAGCCTTGTTTTTGGTTCTCATTCTTTGATTATTACTGCAAAACTACCCCTAAGTTTCTCACTTCCAAACTGGTCCTTATGTAATCCATCCCTTTACTATTGCTAGAATAGTTTTTCTAAAACATAAACCAGATCATATTAACTGCCCTCTTAAAGCTATTTAGTGATTCTCCAGATCTTTTATAACAAAGTCAATTATTCATAAGTTCAAAAATATTTTTATGCCTTTAGCATAGTCCAGGAACATGAAGTGGAGCCCAGGTGCCAAATCCAAATGCTTTAGTCAGCATATGGTTTCACCAAGATATGGTTTCTCAAAATACCTCCAGCCACATTTCTTCTCAGCCTTCACTCATGTGAACCAGTATGTAATTTGATGAATGTGGGATGAGTAAGATCCACGTACAAACTGAGGCTTACTGGTAGTCCAAATCATTAACATGCTAGGGAAAATTGTACATGAACTTCTGCATTATAATGACATCCTTCTCCTATTTATCAATCCTCATGAGCTAATTTACATTGCAAAAACCCATGCTGGCAGCAGGATATACAGTATCTTCTGTTTCTTGCAGTGTGATGGATTAGAGCCCTGGAACAACTCTCCTGCTGAGAATCACCAAAAATGTTGGAAGAAATTTTGAAGAAGCTTTGTAGAGGTTAAAGAAAAAAAAGCTAGAATTAAAGAAAACTGTTAAAACGCAACTGCTATACAAACAAAAATAGAAAGCAAACTTTAAATCATCAGAAGAAAATTCAATCTACCCAGTAGAAAACAAGAAAGGAAAAAATGAGAGTACAGTACCTATGTAATCTGTCCTATGATTAACTCAATTTTCTCTGCAAAAAAAAAAAAAAAAAAAAAAACTTCCATCAACAAACTCTTGTAAAGGAATTTCTAAGGAAAAAAGAAAAATTATCCTAAATGGAATAGCTGAGACGTAAGGAAAAATGCTCAGTAAAAGAAATAATAAATGTGTGGTAAATACAATCACTGACCATATATAATAATATGTATAATGGGCCGGGTGCACTGGCTCACACCTGTAATCCCAACACTATGGGAAGCCGAAGTGGGCGGGTCACAAGGTCAAGAGATTCAGATAACCTTGGCCAACATGGTGAAATCCCGTCTCTACTAAAAGTACAAAACCTAGCCGGATGTGGTGGTGCTCACCGGTAGTCCCAGCTTCTCCGGAGGCTGAGGCAGAAGAATCCCTTGAACCCGGGAGGCAGAGACTGCAGCAAGCTGAGACTGCACCACCACACTCCGGCCTGGTTACAGAGCGAGACTCCTTCTCAAAAAACAAAACAAAACAAAATAATATGTACAATAATAGCACCTCATTTATGCAGTTACACAAAGACAGAATATTCTAAAGAAGAGGTCCTACCTGTATTTTCCCTTGTAGCTGTGAAGTGTTTAATATTTTCTAAGTCCTTAACATGTTAGTGAAGGAGTTAAACACATACCACTCTAGCATATTGACTATTTTGAGTGAAACACACTTGAAAAACAGCAGGTGCAAGATCATTCTGATCTTCCATTTCTTAAAAGTAGAAGATGAAACTCCCATGTTGTAAGATGCCCTCCCTATGCTAGAAGGAAAGCAATATTCTTATCATTAAGGACGGGAAGTTGAGACCAAGAGAATTCTGTACAGACCTTGTTAAAATAACTCATCTTTTCAGCCTTTCCATATATTTAGTTACTTTTTAACAACTTACTATTCTTTGTGCAACTCAGTATATGAGAAATTGATTCTAATTGCTTATTTAGGTCTTCATTTCCATTTAATTCCAATTTAAATAAATTTGTATGCTTTTCTCTTGTTAAACTGTCTTATATCAACTTAATTCTCAGACCCAGCTTGGGGGAAAAAAAAAAAACTACAGGGGAAGAGGTAAAGTTTTACCTCCCCTAAACTAGGCACTTTCCAAGCCAGGTACTGTAAGAGACACAAATCACTAAAACTAGGACATGATCTCTACTCCAGAGGGCATGACACAGATTATAATATAGTGTGGTAGGTGCTGTAATAGACACTGAAAGAAATAAATACCCTGCACTCTCACACACATTTCAGACTATTTAAGAATACATACTTAAAAGACAGGCACAAAAATACACCTAAAACATTATAAGTATACTTTTCTTGGGGTAGAATATAATTTTTTCCCTTATTTATACTTGTATACATTTCTCAAATTTTCCATAATGTCATATTAATTTCTAGAATTAGGAAAAACATTTTAAAATTACATGTTCACAAAAGGAAAAACTATCTTGTTTGAGTGAGAGCTCTTTAAACTAATGTCTAAGCTGTTCATTTTTCTTTTCATAACCATGAGACAATGCTTCTCTTCCCTCTGTTAGGTTACAAATATAGTTTGTATAATTTTCCACCTAAAAAGAAAATAACACATTTTCTTACTTTTAGTCCATGGCTCATATTTTAATCCATATTAAAAATCCAGGAAGCGAAAGAGCAATGAAGAGATCACCATTCTATCATGACTATAATCTGAGAAATCAACAGAAAACTCAGCTTTCCTCAAGTGTTGGTATCTGGCCCTAAACTTCCTTCTAGCTGTCTTACATTATCATACATTATGTTTCCCATAGGTATGATGATACATAACCACAAATTTCTGGAACAGTCCCAATCTCTAATATTTTTTTCTATCATACCAGGTTTCAAATCAAGTCTTCCTATCTGTGATTTAGGAAATATGGTCATGATATCCATGAACAGAGAAAAATCTACATAAGGTTTATAATGCTATGTTAAAACTGATGGCTAAGATGATTAAAATGTTAACAGGAGATTACATTTAAACAAATTGTTGGGTATTCTTTGAAAATAGTTTCCAGTTGATATAACAGCTTCACAAAGTTACTTTTATATGAATAACAACAAGTGGAAAGCTAATTAGATGCTCCAGGCACTGTATGAAGGACATGAAGCTAATCATATGCTCTAGGCACTATATCAAATATCTAATTGTCATCACAACCACAGAGGACTATTATTCTCCCACTTTGGAGGTGAGGAAGTAGGCTTAGAGAGGCTAAGAGACTTGCCTTATCCCATAGGGAATAAGGGGAGGAGCTAGAATTCATAGTCTGATAGGTCGAAACCAGAGACTGACTGACGGACTTACTATGCCAAAGTGCTTAGATGTAGACTACCAAAATAAATGAATTCCATTTTGGTAAATTCTTTGGAAGCCTATTGAGAAACTCCTCAAAATATGTACAAAAAGTTGAATAGTATAGAAGGAACATAGGAATCACAGTCCAACTTTATCACTTCCTAGTAAGCTTTAGTTTCCTCTTTAAAAGGGCAGGAACAATATCCATTTCTAATGATAATAGCTATAATTTATTGAAATACTTGCTAGGTGCCAAGTATGTTTGAAATTTATACACACTGTATAAATTATACACACTGTATAAATCTCACAAATGCCTTTGAAGACGCTATTAACATCTCCATCTTACAGACAGAAATTTCAAGACCAAAACAGTTGAGTAACTTGCCCATGGTTACACAGAAAGATAATGCTAAAGGCAATTTTTTACCCCCATCTGTCTAATGTTAAATTTCACACTCTTTGATATTATACTGCTTTTCATTCTAAAGGAGCTGCATTCTTCTTTAGAATTTGGAAATTGGACTGTCCTTTAAGAATGAAATTGAAAAATATTACCCGTGTGAGCTGAGATGTGAAAACATAGCAGAGTGATTCCCAGGCAACCTGAGATAATTAATTAGTTCATTTAAAGAAAGTATGTAGAAAGTATGTTGATCAGTATCGGAAACATCCAAAAGGGTAACAATAGGGTCAAAAAATAGCTTTATCTACTCATCTAAGCACTAGGTGCCTAGGATATGAAGTCCAGAAATGAGGGTAGATACAGAGAGCCCTATTGTGGAAGCCTGGCTATCTCAGCCAAGGCCATAAAAATTTAGACTCATTTGTTCACCAAGTAAACATCTAATTAAAAGTTGGCTTCCCACATAATGTGCCTGTAAAAGAATACATCAGCCACCAAAAATACATGTTTAGTTCCTCTGGCAATTATATTTCTTATTGTCAATTAATAAGGACGTGTCTCATCTCTATGAGTTTGGTTAATACAAGCCCACCTCTGAGAAGCAGATCCGCTGATACTATGCCAACATTAGTTTCTAAGCCTTTAAAGAAAAGAATCACCTAGAAGGTCAGTTCCTGAAAGAAGGATGAGTTTACCAAGATAATATAAGCTACCTGGAGCAGTCCTGTTTAGACGTTCAACCAGTCATCAGTGGGCAACATCTTATACATGTATTACTACTGGAAAACAACACAGATTGTTGCCGTGTTTCATTAAACAACAACAAAAAAGTCTACATGTGGGTGTTTTTCAAACTACAGAGTTGATAGTCAAACATTAGTTTTTAATACATCAATTTAATGAAAGGCAATGAACAAAATCGCAGCTGTCTGTAAAACTCTATGTTATTAGTTCTTACTTCTTTTGCTTCTTCCATGTGCTTCACTATAAGCTCTTCTATATTTCTGGTAGCAGTCCTCAGCCCGTCTTTACTGTGCTGGTTGGAATAAGCACCAACAGAGTTGTTGTTCTTTAGCAGCAAGGGGGTTGATGTCTTCTTTTTCAAGATGGTGAAGTATGTCTTCTAATTGAGCTCTTCCCTTGATAAAAGACATAAGCATATGTGTATATATACACACATACATACATACATACATACATACATACCCATGACTGAGGATGCAAGATATCTATGTTGCTGCCACCTTAGGCTTCTCATTAGAGTACTAGTATTTAGGGTACTAGTAACAGAACGCTAGTAAGTCACCTAATTCTTCACCACACTTATGTATGTGGATGTGTGTATATATATATATATATATATATATATATATATATATATATCTCGGAAGATCCAAGATATTTCTAAAGAACAAAATATAGCTGGTAATGCACATACAAAGCAGCTATGTAAGGAAAATTGAAAGCAGAAATAAAGAAATTTAAGTATACATGACTAGAGTCAGACTCTCTACAATGTTTATTTTCGTTTTCTTATTGTTACCCAGTTATGAGCACTTAAATGAAACAGCTGATAATACCAAAAAATTAAAGCTTTGAACAACTGTATATCTTCTAAAATAACAAATGACATGATATATTTAAAGAAAATTATGTACAAGAGTGTTTGAAAAAAAAAAAGCTTTGTCTGTTCCGAAGTTTGCAACTTAGTAATGTGAAGTCTCAGCCGGGCGTGGTGGCTCACGCCTATAATCCCAGCACAGCACTTTGGGAGGCCGAGGCGGGTGGATCACGAGGTCAAGAGATCAAGACCATCCTGGTCAACATGCTGAAACTTTGTCTCTACTAAAAATACAAAAATAAGCTGGGCATGGTGGCGCACGCCTGTAGTCCCAGCTACTCGGGAGGCTGAGGCAGGAGAATTGTTTGAACCCAGGAAGCAGAGGTTGCAGTGAGCCAAGATCACGCCATTGCATTCCAGCCTGGGTAACAAGAGCGAAACTGTCTCAAAAAAATAAATAAATAAAATAATAATAATAATAATAACAATAATAATGTGAAGTCTCCCAAAGGGCTGTTTCTTTTTT